ATTGAATGGATGCTTTTCTTGGGAACTTTCTTTTAAAGCCAAATGTCAGTAAACAGACAACACATTGCTGTTTTATGTTATTGGGAATAGAAGGAGAAAGTGTTCGTAGACAGCTAACTCAACTGCTTCTCCAAGGCAGGTCCACCAGACTGGAATTACTTGTTGCAGAAATTCTGAAATGGAGTTTTACAATCTGCATGACAATTCCAGCGCGAGTGGTAGTTAACACTGGCTGTATTCTGCTTTGGGGTTTCTCTTACCTTTTCTTATTTCGAAAGGGCAAAGCTTCCAGTATATTGTCATTAAGAGCTAGGGCAGAGGAAATTCTCAGTTGCACTGGAAATGACAGGCAGGAACTTCCGTCTGTCGGACTGATTTCTTAGAACACTTGGCCATCAAAACCAACACTTGTGTTTATTTCACATGAAGTTTTATCCAAAATGAAAGATTCTGAGACTTGACCAATGAAGAGTTTAGGTCTCTGAGTAGCTTTCTCAGGCCTTTTAAGCTTATGTTACATTTTAAAATTCTTTCAATGTCCTCGTTTTCAGATAGTGGTGATGGTGTTCTTAAGGTAATGAAAACTTATTTTTGAATTACTTAATTCCTGGGAAGACATTTAAAAAGGGAAAGATTTGATTCCTTCAAATCTTATCTCTTATCTTATTTCCTGTCAGCCGTCTTAGGGGTATGCTGTTCCAAAGCTAAATTACACAAGAGGCTGGTAGTGGTGCTGTAATGTTACCTTATGAATTCTGTAATGCGTTATTAATGTTCTACCTTTCCTTGGTTATTCTGTTTCTTATCCTATGTGCAAAATAAATAAACATTTGGAAATTCTTCTGTTATTTTTCTTCTATATAACCTAGCTGAACTTTATTTTGGGATTGAGAAATCAGCCATAACATATTTCATTTATGAAGAAATGAACAGAACGGATAATTTTGTATTTGATATTTTTGTAGATATAAGCCTATGCAGAAAGTGGATGGGGTTGCAGATGGCTTCACAGGAAGCGCTCAACAGACAGGCACATCAGTTGAACAAACTGTAATTGCTCAAAGTCAACATCATCAACAGTTTTTAGGTATGAAAGTCTGTTTTTTACAGCTATATATATAAAAGAATCTGTTATCACCATGAATATCAAGCCACACAAGTACAATAGTTATTTCTAAAGTCATCATGCCCTTTTTAAAATTTTTACTCATAACAGAACAAAAAAATACTTAAACTACATGTTCCGTGTTGTAAGTCTTATGTAATATTTAATACGCATCATGTAAGAATTTAAAAAACGCAAGTTCTATATTTGCATGGTATGTGTAATACTATATAAATTGTAATGAAATTTGCCATGAAAAGTTCTACTGATTTGTAATGGCTTCCCTCCATGTGCATTACAGCATGTTTGTATTTTTAAAATGAAAATAAATAAAGTGTTGGGGTTTTTTTGCATTGCAGTTGCAGGCTAACCACCAAGTGGTCTCTTTTGAATGTGTCCTATAGTGTTAGAAAAGGAAAGAGCCAAACAGTTGAAACTAGAGCTCCAAGGTTCATGTTTTAAAATGTCCAAGCTGTGCATTCATAGATCTAGCTAGGCATGTACATTTCTCAGTAGTGGAAACCAATAGTAGTTTAGCTATTTGTTTATGCAAAAATGCTAATTGGTTGCATCATTGCAGTATTTCTAGACTTATTTCCGAGTTTGTATTTTGGGATTTTCAAGCACTGTATCCTTTGGCCTAACTCAGCTATTATTGAAATCACTGGCAACACAGGGGTAGAGTTATAATGTTTTGAATCTTCGTTTGCATGTGCCCACCTCCCCTCCAGCTGATGATGCAGTTTTCCTTCAAACTAGCCTGTCTCTTGGAAACATTTGTGACAAACACTGAAAGTACACATTGGCTTCAGCTGAAAGTCGAGTAAATTTCACATAAAAATATATTGCTGAGTCTACTACTAGCATATGTGACTACATAGAAATTCTTCAACTGAGCAAAACAAAAACTATTAAAGGATGTTAGTCTTTTATGTATCGACATAAATATTTTGCTTCATCCTGTAATATTCTGAAAATGTTTACGCTAGCTTTTTCTATATGGATATAGTACGTATATGACATATTTTTAATGTTACTTGTCAAGAACAATTTAACATTTCCTTTTGCTTGAAAAGTGCTGGCTGCTTTCTTTACAGTTTTAAAATATAACATACAAAAGACTTTTCTATTTGAGCCTTATGACCTTTTGGAATTCATTTCTTTGTCTCACCCTTAAATGTTTTCTGAATTAAACTGTACTTGGCACCATTCAACATAGCTTTTTTCCATTGTGTTGTCATGGAAACAGATGCATCTCGAGTACTTCCAGAGTTTGGAGAAGTTGAAATATCTTCTTTGCCAGATGGTATTACCTTTGAGGATATCAAATCACTGCAGAGTCTTTATCGAGAGCACTGTGAGGTATTTCCTATAAGCTATTTATTTCTGAAAATGCATGACATCTAATGAGGATCAGTACAACAGAGCAATACAAAATATAGTGCAGACATGGTAGACATATGTGGCCTTCCTTCCCCCAAGATACCTTGCTTATTTCATTGGAATAGCATTAGCAAATGATTTTTCTGGAGGGTCCCCTTACAGGACAAGAAAATAATATGTAATACCTCTGAGAGGGAAATGTAGTTATGTATATGTTTTCAGAATATTAAAGAAAATAGACTGCAGATTGTATATGCAGATCTTTGGTTTGTTAGTAGGAAATGTAGATCAGATTCAATTATCATTTGTGTACATTAAAAATTAAAAAACTTTGTTTTCTTCTGTTAGAGAAACATTGTTTGAGATGTTTAAGCCACATGCCATATTAAATGACATATCTTTAAAAATATTTTTAAAAGTGCTTTCAAACCTGTACTAAAGTATCAAAATGAATAAAATAGCAGGTTTTCTTTATGTTTGCAATAATGATAAATGTTTTGTTTGAGTGAATTCACTTGATATGTTTACATAGGTCATGTTTATTTCTGGGGGCTTCCATGCACTTGCACTTAGCCTTATTACAGTCTCTGTGCATGCTAGTTTATACTTCTGGATCATTCACTGATAACAAAGCAGTTAAAACAGTTATTATTCACTTCAGAAATGTAGCTTGCCTTTGTTCTGCTAAATGATGAATTTAAAGAAAAGTTATAGCTGTAGTTGCATTTGGCATTGAGCGTAGCTGGGCAGAAGACTATCTGTGCTTACTTTTTTTTATTTCTTCAGGCGATACTGGATGTGGTAGTAAATCTTCAGTTCAGCCTGATAGAAAAATTGTGGCAAACTTTCTGGCGCTATTCTCCCTCTGCTCCAACTGATGGCACTACCATTACTGAACCAAGGTCAGTAAATGTTTCTCGTCGTTTTCCTGCTTATCATGACAGTATTAAAGGTGCCAAATATAAGAAAATCTTAATTTTCCCTTCAGAGTAATAACTTTTTTTGGTATGCTAATTTTTCAAGTTAGATTTATATTGTCTGGTATTATTGTATAGGCTGGGTGTCTAAATATAGTCTTGGAATGTATGTGTCTTCCATTTTTTTTCCTTTGTTTGGACAACTGAAGTCAAGGTAACTTTTCACAGTATTCTACCCAGTTCGTTTAAGCCAAAGGGATCATTCTTATTATACCTTTGCATAATTTATGGGCTGAAGAACTGTGGAAGCTTTTTTCTTAATTTTTCTTTTAATTTTTTTTAAATTTTCTTTCTTGTCTTTAATTTTCTTAATTTTCTTAATCATGTGACCAAGGTGTAAATAAATTCTGTTGACTGTAATTGAGACACCTATAATTTTTGTATTAACTAATAATCCACAATGCCCGTTGTTCTTTTTTATTTGAATATAACTGTATTTTCATTTATTGATTTGCTTCATTTGTTCACACCAGCAATCTGAGTGAAATAGAAAGTCGACTTCCAAAAGGAAAGCTGATTGCTCTGTGCAAAAATGAGTCTATTCTGAAATGGATGTGTAATTGTGACCATGTGATGTACCAGGCTTTGGTGGAGATTCTCATTCCTGATGTCCTTAGACCTATTCCTAGTAAGTTGAACACAGAAAATGCTTTGTAAGTTTGTGTGTGTCTGTGCGTAGTGGTAGTGGTGGTGGTGGTCATGGGTCTTACAGAAAAGTTTTAGGAATGATTTTGAAGGATATGGATGTGTTGTGTATCATTTTTCTTTAATTCTATTGGGTAGGAAGTTGTACTGACAGCAGACATACTCCTTGCATTTTAAGAAAAAGAACTGAAGTTTTTATTGCATTAGGAAGACCTTCTGCAGTTTTAAGGATACATTTTCTCATGAAAGGTGCTTCTGTCTCTGCATGTTACATGTTTTTATTATTTTGAAGATAAAAATATGCTCCTTTTATGCTGGTTCGAGGGTGTCTGATAAACACACTGGAGTCCTGAGCCAAAGTGCACAGATGCCAGTCAGTCTTTCTACTAACTTCGGTGGTTTTTATTTTAAACATTATATAGTAATCTCTAATCAGTCAGAAAAAGTGTGTCTGTGCTTTGTGATTTAATTTTCTGGACAGAGGTTCTTTTGTTCCTTATTAGTGGCTACTGAAATCAATTTTAATGCCTATTAAACCACTACAGAATTAACTCAAACATTTTTAGTCCAATTTATTGTCCTGATCTGCTCTTCTTTCTAACATATATCCTGCAAGAGAGAGTCAGCAACTAACTGTAGTATTATGTCCATTCAACCATTAGCAGGAGTACAACTTTCAGTGCTGATTTTATTGGAATCCTTTATTGGTCAAGCAGTGTATTCTTATGGCTGGTTTTGGTAGGAAGTGAGTTTACGTAAGGGAGGCTGAACTCCTTTCTGAAGCACTTATTGTGTCATATAAATTGTACTAAATGTTACAAAGAGATTATTTGTTAGCAATCCAGTATATTCCTTGTAACTCTTAAGTATTATATCCTTTCCATGAACCAAACAATGGTCGTATTATAAAATTGAATTGGTATTTTTAAAAGATAGGCCCTCATGTACCCTTGCATCTAAGAAAGTTATGTTTTCGTGGTATGAGCACACCTCCTGCTATATACACTCCAGCTGCCGTAAGAAGTTCGAAGAACATTTGCAGGTACTGCCTCGTAGAAAAGTTTTAGTCAGCTTCCCTTGTCAATGAAACAAATTTAGGTTTCACGTAAACAGTAGATTATGTATGATACAAATAAATGTTGGAACTGGAAGTATGGAAAATTCCAGTGTCAGCCATTTACAGAAACAGTTTTACCTTTTTTTGGCAGCAAAGAATAAGATCTTAGTTAGAGACAGACATAATTAATCTTTTTATCTATGTAGCAGAACAAAGGAAAAATTTATTTCTCAAATACGTGTAATAATTGGCAACCATTACTTGTATACATTAGTTTGGCATTGGTTTATGTTTCATTGTTTATTTTTGTATCTAAAGAAAATGCAGATAGGTAGAATATTAGTTTTAGATGAATGTAGTCTATCTCAAACAAATAAAAAAAATAACAATTCGAAGAACATTTGCAGGTACTGCCTCGTAGAAAAGTTTTAGTCAGCTTCCCTTGTCAATGAAACAAATTTAGGTTTCACGTAAACAGTAGATTATGTATGATACAAATAAATGTTGGAACTGGAAGTATGGAAAATTCCAGTGTCAGCCATTTACAGAAACAGTTTTACCTTTTTTTGGCAGCAAAGAATAAGATCTTAGTTAGAGACAGACATAATTAATCTTTTTATCTATGTAGCAGAACAAAGGAAAAATTTATTTCTCAAATACGTGTAATAATTGGCAACCATTACTTGTATACATTAGTTTGGCATTGGTTTATGTTTCATTGTTTATTTTTGTATCTAAAGAAAATGCAGATAGGTAGAATATTAGTTTTAGATGAATGTAGTCTATCTCAAACAAATAAAAAAAATAACAAAACCTACAAATTTAATTACAATATTTAATATGTTGAATTGAAATTCTCTCTTCCAACTATATGCCATATTTTATGATGAAAAATGTGGAGCAGCTATTAAATTAAATATTTATATGTTTATTAAATGTTTATATCAGCATAATGATTTTTCATCAAACTTACTTTTCCCCTTGCCTTTCCCTTGCTTCTCTTACTCAGCCTAATAGTCTCTGAAGAAATTTTTGTAGGGTAACTCTTGTGACATCTTCCTGCCTTTATCTTATAAGATGCATTGAACAGTGCTAATGCAAAGTTTTAAAAAAGAGTGCCATGTCACTGAATATCAGTATCTACATACATTAGGTCCTTTTCACACTATTTATTTTTTGCTAGAATTGACAAAATATTTATTGATAGTGTAACAAATTAGCAGTCATACTTGAATAATTGATATAGACTGTATTTGATGTTCCTGTTCTTGGGGATGGTTATCAGATTTCTTGATGAAAAAACATCTTCTGAAGGACAAATTCTTCCCAACAGACTTCATCTCTTTTGTGAACAAGCGGATGGTCTCCTGCTTACAGGTCCTTCTGTTGAGCTGCCTTTGGAAGATAGCTAATGTACTTGCTTCTTTTTATCTTTAGGCCCAGCTACTAACAAGCTTTTTCTAGCCAGCCAGCTTTCTGTACCATCTTACAATGATGTTACATACAAGTTTTCTCTCTTTCCTGTCAAATATTATTAGTATTTTAACTCCTGTGTTTGAATTAGAATATCTCCACCCATTACAAGAAGTCAAAAGAAAGGTTCGAGGTTGTGTTTGATGGTTGACTATGCCAAGAGCGGAGCTGGGTGAAGTAGAAAAATTCATTATCTTCTGTGGGAAAATGTCAGTTCACAGGAAAGCTTGGACTCTGTGGAGAGAAGGGGACTATAAATGCCCCATCAAAGGCAGGTTTGTTTTTTGGTTCTTGGGGTTTTTTTTGTTTTTCCTGGATATGGAAAGGTATCAACAACAGCTGCTCAAAATAGGAAAAAGTATTAATTTTGACACTACATGGAGTAAGTATACTATTTTGAAAGTTTTTTCTTTTTTCTTGTTCAGATTTTCAGTGTTTTTCTTTTGGAAAAAAAATCCTACTGTGCTACTCAGCTGCGTATTACATATTACCAGAGTGGAAAAGAAATAAATATTGAGGAAAAAAGCTTTTATTGTTAACCACTAAATTAAATTTGTCAGCTGTTCAGCAGCCACAGAATGAATAAAAATTGCGGGGTATAAAAAGGCCAAATTCTTTTCCTTAAAAAAAGTCAAATGCTGTCCGTTTAAGTCAAGAATAAAGTGGATTATCGTTTAAGAATAATCTAGGAGCAGACAAAGTATTATACCGGCAATACATCTTTTTCCTTTAGACTGGCCTTTTTATCCCTTCACAAGTGACACACTGGAAAGCAACAAACTTGCCTGGGAATTTCTATCCCAGGCAGAGAATTTACACTGAATGTATGTTCACATTGTATTACCCATTTCCAGGCAAACAATTTAAAGTACTGGAAAGAATGTAAAAGCTTATTTTTACAAGATTTACATGTCAGAGAGTTTTTAGCAAAGAAGCTTTTGGGTGCTTATACCAACCAACTTTTTATCAGTAACCGATATTTCAGCATCATTTAGTGTGAATCTAGTAGCGTTTCAGAGACTATCAGAATTAATTCAGGCACCAAACTTATCCTATCATTCTTTCAAAAAGTTTTCTTGCTTTTTTCTTATGATAGCCAGATAAACTTGAAGAATGTTTGGAGGATATACTTACTTAGGCTTTTGGTAATGGTTAGATGCATACTTAAGGGTGGAGTATGAGAAAAATAGGCGTCACCACAAAAATTCGAGGTCATTCTATACTACACTGATCCCTGATAATCTAGTTCAGCTAGAAAGAAGGAAACTTATTTCTCCTGACCTAGAATTCCTTTCTTTTGCTCCTCTTTCTTCCCAGTTAAAGACCTTTTTTAGTAAGGTGTCACTGAGCTGCTTTATTTCAGATTTATTTCTAAAGCAGATTACCATTACAGTGATGCAAATAGTTTTGTAACAGTTGGGTGAAAAAGAGTATTAAGTGAATTAGAAGGCAAAACATTTTCTTAAATGACTAAATATAATTCATACATTATTTGCATTATTCCTTGCACTTGTATTTTCTTGTTCTACAGGTAAGAAATTAACATGAGTGAATAAATGTTTAATTAGTAAATGCACAGAAGTAGTTTACATAGCAGTTCTGTGGCTACTGTAGTGAAGAAAGAAAACACCAAGATTTCACAGCAATTTGAGTAATCTCACTGTCTGTCAGTGAAACATTCTTATATTTTGCTTAAGCACTACACATGTGATTTTGTTCTACAGAATTGGAATAAGCAGCATCATGGCAATGCTTTGGGCCACTTTGGGTTTACTTGAGAAAACTACCGTATTGCAATAATTGCAATTTTCTGCAGAGTTTTGTTTTTTCAAAGAAGTACTACGATGAAATGGAAGGCTGAAAATCATAATGGAAATTTTCAGCAAAGGGGAAAGAACTATTGCAATTACTGATATTCTTCTACAGAAATGCTCAAAACTATAGTTACTGCTGGTCATACAGTTCTTGAAAGGTAATTAGGAAGTTAGTTCTGCTTCTCAAATCAAAAGTAAAATCACTCTTGCATAATCTATACCTGAGTGAGGTATTTTAAACCTGGATAAGTCTTCCGGTCAGTAAACACAGAAGAACTCAGTGGGGAGTATGTAAGTAGTGAGGATGCAAGAGATTTCAAGACAGGCACTTGGCTTTCTTTTCATTCTGTTTTTATTCTTTATTTTATAGGTGCCTTGACCCAAGCCATTCGCAATTTTGCAAAAAGCCTTGAAGGTTGGCTTTCAAATGCCATGAACAATATTCCACAGAGGATGATACAAACCAAGGTAAACAAAACTTCTGAGTATTCCTTTTGCAATAGCGTACTGATAGGACGTTGTGATCTAAAAGCAGTAGCATTTTAACTTCTATGCTAAATGTTTAGGGTGAACTCTGTCAAAAACTTGAATGGAAAACATTATAGACATAATTCATATATGAGGGCTTGTTAATATAGAGCATTAAGATGAAGATAAAGAATCAAAGGCAAATTGATCTACAGATGAAGATTACAATATTTAAAGAGAAATGTATTTCTTCCTAGGTTGCCGCTGTAAGTGCCTTTGCCCAGACTCTGCGAAGATACACATCTCTTAATCACCTGGCTCAGGCAGCTCGTGCTGTGCTTCAAAACACTTCTCAGATCAACCAGATGCTCAATGATCTCAACCGTGTTGATTTTGCCAATGTCCAGGTAAAATACAGCTTTAAATAACAGCCTTTATTAAAAAAAGTTTTATTCCTCCATGATTTTGAACTTTATTACTGGGTGCCATTATTCTATGAAAAAAGAGATAGAGAACGTTTTGCTGACTTAGGTACACAGTGACTGAGTCTGAATTTGTCACCTTACACTTTAGAAAAGCAAGAGCTCAGAACTATTATCTATTTTCATTTACTATCTTCAAATGCACATATTCTTCCAACTTCTATGGAAATGTAGAGCGCACACGTTCTCAGAATGGGCAGCGTAAATGATGTTGTAGTAATAGCATGAATGATATTGTGGTAGTGTGGCAGAATGAAATCCAAGCCATCTTAGTTAACCAAACCTCTTTATTGTCCCACACCACACACTAACAGGTTCTTTGGGTGTCAGTGTAGGTATTCCGGTATGATCACAAATGTTTACAATATAGTCAACAGGCAATTAAGAAATAATAATGATTAATTGTCAATGAAGAGATTCAATAATGATTAACAATGTGGAGGATCAATGGTAACAATGTACTTTAACACATCTATCTCCCAGTCACAATAATAAAAGATGATAAACTATTTATATAAAGTAAGCAGGTAAGTATGTACACAAGCAACAAATCATGAAATTAGCAGTTGCTGAACATTCTATAAATCCGTGCCTCTGCAGAGTAAAATTCTTATGAAATGTAACAGGCCTTCCAAAGGAACAACACGCAGGGGAGGGGGGAGAGAAAGAAAGGAGAAAGGCAGAACTCCCAGTTCCCTTCAGGTCCTCCTTTCAGCTGCACTGCCTGTGGGGTGGCAATGCTCGCTCTCGCCGTAACGGCGGGTCGCACCGGTAGATACTGCTGAGGGCCGGGTGGGAAACTGCGAGCCGGCAGATCTTGCTCGACGGGCTCAATTATAGGACAGGGCAGAGAGACCAGGTCTCCCTGTTATTCCCTATGGCGGGGGGGGGTTACCTCCACAGATACCTTATGAATCATAAGATCTCAGGCAACAGTATAGCTTCTGAATGTCTCTGAATGCTATTAACTGCACAGCATTGTTTTTAGTAGAGACTGTTTCATTAAGTTTATTTCAAAGACAATACAGTTCATATACTTTCTCTGTCTATATTTACATTTCCAAGATCTCCTGAGTAATTGATTAGATTAGAACTGGTTTCCAGGTTAGCTATAGAATGTAACTTTATATTTTCATTAGGCTTAAAAAAATATTTTCCATGCCTTTTTCCTCCTTTGAGGAATTCTTTTTCTTTTGTTCCTTTTGCCCAGCAAGTTGAAATGTTCCAGATTATTGGATATATTTGTCTCTTTTCTTGTGAACAAACATTTTAACTTATTTCATCTGAACAAAAATTGAGTCGTTTGCTAGCAACAGTTTAATTCTTTTTGCTTTTCACATAGAATTTTGAATAAATAACATTTAACATGGGTAGCTATGCAACAATATGTTAACTATTAAAGGTTGAGTACTTGGCCAAGATATAGTATATTAAGTACTGTAACATGTAAAAATAGATAGAAAGTCTGTGAATGTTCAGGGCAAGTGATGCTGGAGTTTAAGGACATGGAGGCCAGTAGGTTTCCGTTTGCTTTCTCTAAGTTTCAGGAGGGTCCTCTTACCCTTACTTAAACTTAGTAACACTGACTAAATTGCTTATTATTGTATGCAGAGTGTGATTCTCTACATGTTTTTGTTGTTTATGTTTATGTTGTACGTTGAGCAGTGTGTAACCTATTACTGCCTTTTGGCAGCAAACAGAACAACACTTGTTTACATACACAGCTTTCTTTTGTAAGTTAGATGATATAATATAGAATAGAAATCATCTTAACTTTTCCAGAGGAAATGGAACCTGGCATTTGAAGTCTTGCTCCCTCTTTTATTACTCTATTACCCCTGTTTGCCTTTAGTCCCAGGAAAATCTGACAATTCCTGACTATTTTAATAAAAAAAGTATGAATGAGGAAAGTTAAAGAAGGTTTTTTGGAAAATGAATATGGAAAACTACAACACAGGTCATTGTCATAATCTTTAACAATGAATTACATTCTGTGCTTTGGTTTACATATTGCTCATTGAAGAGTTCCATGTTTTGTGACAGGAGCAGGCTTCCTGGGTGTGCCAGTGTGATGACAACATGGTTCAGAGACTAGAAACAGACTTCAAGATGACTCTTCAGCAGCAGAGCACTCTGGAGCAGTGGGCTGCCTGGCTCGATAATGTAATGATGCAAGCATTGAAACCATACGAAGGAAGACCCAGTTTTCCTAAAGCAGCACGGCAATTCCTATTAAAATGGTCTTTCTACAGGTAGTATTCCATAGATTTCTAAAATGCTTTGACTATTCTTTTACTTGTAGACCTGTTCGTTATAGTAAAGCTGACAAATTTAATATCAGATAGTAGCTACTTAAGGAATGGAAAACCATGTTTTTCAAACATCTCAGGGCTACTTACAACTCAGCAGGGAATTAACTGATCTTTCTATGTTATTTTAAAGGCCACATGTAAAAGTAAAGAGAATAGAATTTTGTCCTCAGTTAGAAACATGTCTTTGGGTTGAATACCTATATGACTGTTAAGCCACTATTTGAACTATTATTTATTAAAACACTCTGGCTTCTATTAGAGAAGGAAGACAAAACCTTTTTTAATGTGCCAAAAAAGTAAGACAAGTATTCCATCATAGCTGCTTACTGAAAAAGTTATTCTTACAAAATCGTAGCCTAAGTCAACTACTTTCTGAAGTTATCGTATATATCTTTCCACCTGAAATTTGTGTTTGTCAATATAACGCAAGCCTATTCTATGTAATTTTCAGTTGGAAAGTTTTAAAATCATAGCAATTAATACGTTTGTACTGAGTATGTGGGAAACAGCATATGCTATGTTTTTCAGCATTATTTCATTTAAAATTTTTTGCACAGTTTTGCAAAGGGTTTAACAGCTTACTCCAAAAGCTTAGATTTTACACATGCTCGAGTATTCATAGTTGTGCATATATTAAAAAAAAATCTGAAAAAATCTGAAAATCCGATTATTACTTATGAAATGTGGTGTCCAACAATATCTTCAGAGAAAGAGGAGAAGCAAATAATTCCCTGTCTTGGACATTTCTTTCTGAAGACACCATAAGTCAGATATTGACTCTGTGGGTAACATCGCTTTTAAGAATATCGGTTTTGAGGTGAATTTTCTACATGGATAAGTGTTTAAATGACTAATATTTAATTCAAAAATATGTGTATTTTTCTATTTCTAAATAGCTCGATGGTGATTCGAGATTTAACCTTGCGCAGTGCTGCTAGCTTTGGCTCTTTTCATCTGATCCGCTTGCTTTACGATGAATACATGTTTTACTTAGTAGAACATCGTGTTGCTCAGGCAACAGGAGAGACACCTATTGCAGTTATGGGAGAGGTAAGATAATATGTAAGAAGTTAGACTGATAGGTTTAGTGATGAATTTGGGTATGATCTTTGCAAATTTTTTTCACACTTATGTGAAGCTGTAGGATGTTTTGTAATACAACAATTGCAGATCCGGTACCAAATAGATCATTTTCAAACTTGTTTCACTGATTGAGTCTCAGAGTATGGAAATTACACTGAATTCTAACAAGCGATTCTCTGAAAATGAGCTCACTCCTTTAGGCATCTTCATGCAGATTCACATGCCTAAGTAAAGATGCAAAAAAAGGGTGAAAAATGTTGATCAACATAATACACAGAAAAATCCTATTTTTTTTAGCTCTTGGGAACTAAATATTTTATGTGAACATAATAAAAGAACAGAGTAATAGGAAAGTTGCTTACAAGAATCTGTTTGCATGAATTTACACACTCCTAAAATTCTAACACAAGTATTTTCACAAGTGAGCAGAGCAGCACCACTGACTTCAGAAAGATGGCTCACGTGTAAAGTTTAGCCTGTATGGTACTTTTCACATGCATGTAATAAAAGTAGTGCAGACATACTTGGAGGATTGGGACATAAGTGATTTTTGTACATACATTTCAAAGATTGCTGGTTAAAAAAACAGAACAAAAGTCTTAATTCAGAAGCAGCATGATTTATACTTGTCTGTAGCATGTGGAAGGTGAGGTTTTCCTCAGGCCTCTTATGTCCGGCATTTAGCTACCATTTTTATGTTGAGTGAGCTGCCTAAGAATGTACATTATGTGAGGAATTATCATCAAGGAACTACACTTTTAAAGTTTTGGAAAATGGATATATTTGAAAATATGCTAGGCAGTTAATGGGACAAATGTTACCAATTTAATAGCTGGAAGTCATTGTATCATGTTTCATGTTACTGGTAAGTTAAGTTGTAAGACACTTTGCAAATTGATTTCAGATCAGATGTCATTCTTCCCTCAATATACATTAAATACTATCATTAAATGTTACCAATAGATGAACTTTTGATAGAAATTGGAAATGTCTCATCTTTGTTTGTCATGATTTCAAATCATGTGGCAAGACATTTTTTAGAGAAACTAAATTATGACATTTCTGCTTAGTGATGCACCAATAGTATACTTGGTTAAATTCTACCATTATTTTCACAATAAGGTGCTAGAGAAGCGTAGTTACTGCGTTCTTGTCTTCTCAACAGACGTTGATTATGTTAAATGTAAATTTTTAGTGCAGTGAAGGGCCTTCTAAAAAGTTTCTGTAAACTGAAGATAAGTATGTTCTTAGGAAGTAAGTAAACCAAAACTTTTAGAGGTGAGGGACAGGGTGGAAGTTATAATACTTGTGATATGCATGCCTTTTTATGTTTCTTTGCATTAAGTGACTGTGAGTGAAATAAAATGGGGAGGTCCAAGCCTATGGTCTGACAAGCACTGTAAAACAGTATAAACTGGTGTTGCAGCTGAGAAAAGTTTTCTGTTTCCTCCCGTCCTCTTCCCCCAGCTTTAGACACAGGTACTGGCAGAAGTAGTCGGAAGTGCTGCAGTTAACTGGATCAGATTTATCCAATGAAAAATGACCTAATGTTTAAAATTGGTTATTTTTCTCTGGGGTCATTTTTTTTCATGTGTTTCTTTGGTGAGGTTGTGTTAGCACTTAATGCACAAAGCCCAAATAGCATAGGAACCAGGGGTGAGTGGACCTGAAAGGATTGGACTGCTGCTGCAGGCTAGTATAGTATTCCTTCAATTACCATCTTATCTTGCCATACTTCTGAAAAAGACTGATATCATCAGGTATGGTTAGAAATGTACTTCCTTAAATAATGTATTCCTTTCGTTTGAGATTAATTGATCAAATTTTGCTCTACTGCTTCTCATTTAAGAGAAGGTTGGAGGATTCAGGGAAGGAAAGGGAGGAAAGTTACATTTCTGACTTGTAAGTAACTCTTTTGAATATTTGTTTTTATGTAAGTAAATTGGTTACCAGATTGTAACCCTTCTTCAGCAGTACCTTTCATCTACCATGCGGGTAGATGTGCAGGACTGTAACTGCCTTTAGTGACACACCTTCATTTTTGTTCCAACTCAATGAAAGTCTTCTCAGGAGAATTTTAAGGAGCTTCTGGTTAAAATATTAGCAAATCAGAATGGGCAGCAGTCATATTTTCTGGGTTTACACAATGCAGAAAAAAGCTCATTTAAAGTAACAAAGACCTTGACAAAGAAGTCGTCTTAAAAGAAAAATTGTATCATTAAGTTTATACTTCACCATTTTAATTGTTGAGGGTTTGTTTTAGTTTTAATTGTCTTAAAACGAACAAGACTAAGATGGAATGGAAAATGAACTAGTAGAGTATGGATGTGGCTGCAAGGAAGATCATGCACTTGCATGCTAGCCTCAAGCCACTGGAGCACAGACCTGCTCCTTCATAGGTACTCTAACTTCATACTTGCAAAAGACTGTGCAAACACTTTTTATTGTTTATTTTGCAGTTTGGAGATTTAAATGCTGTGTCCCCTGGAAATATGGATAAAGGTAAACATTTTAATTTCTCCAGTATATACCTCTGTATAGAAGTAACATGTCTCCTTGAGCAAAATAAGTCCTTACGTTTTGAAATATAGTAAAGCCATATTTAGAGATGCATCATGGTATAAAATGCATGTGTATCTTATATGAATACGTTAATATATTATATGGATACAATATGCTATATATGATATGCAGCATATGATAAAGGCTAGAAAACGGTAGCTAAAGTTTCTAATAAGAATATCTTTTAAAAGTGTTTCTTATTTACACAAGAATATTCAAATTTTTACCTAGAATTTAGTTGTATATCCTGATAGGAGAGTGGAGGAGAACAGCTACAGAAAGAAAGATAAGAGTGTACTCATATATCCATAGTAAATGACAGTTTTGATAAGTGAAGATGGCAGAACTAGGGGCAAGCAGTTGTCAAATAACTTGTCAGTGAAGAGTACAGAAAGAAGTAAGTTCATTATGACCTCTTTGTAAACTGTAGTCGTATTTTATTCTGTTGTCTTACATGGACTAGTGGTGTGATTTGGGGCCAAGTCACAAACCCTCTTCACCTCAGTTTCCCTTTCTAAAAATAAGATTAACAGTTCTTGTTTATTGAGTCTTGGAAAGGAGAGGCAATTTGCAAGTTATGAGCTTCATGCTGTTTGTTAGAGCTTGTGTTTGAGATTGCAACTGCTTTCTCAATATGCTATTGTTAACGGTGTGTAACTACCGCAATCAAAACTGAGCAAGTTTGTTAAATTCTTTGTAGGAATCATTGACTCTTCCTACGAAAGTTTAAAATTTTCGGTTTAGGCTTTATCAAATTGCTAGACTTCCCTGTAATTTTGTATTTCATATATTATTTCCAAAGCAAAGGCCCTTGCCTTTGCATGAGTTTCATGGTGGTTTCTTTGTGCAGATGAGGGCAGTGAAGTTGAAAGCGAAATAGATGAAGAGCTGGATGAAAATGGAGAGCCACAAGCCAAGAGGGAGAAAACAGAGCTAAATCAGGCATTTCAGGTGGGCTGCATGCAGCCAGTACTTGAGAGTGGAGTACAGCAGAACCTCCTGAACCCACTTCATAACGAGCACATTGTCACAAGTACGCAGACTATCAGGCAATGCAGTGCTACTGGAAATACGTATACTGCAGTCTAATATGAAAGCTTCCCTCCCCCTCTTCCCCTCCCCCCAGATTGCATTGGGCCTTTGGGCTTAATATGAGAAAAGAAAAAAGAATAAGTCCGAAGGTTGACTGTTGTCAAATTTTCGCCGCGCTGAACATTATTTTATTGGAGTTGTGAAACAGAAAAGGGTGTATGTATTTTGCCAGATGTGTTAAAAAAAAAAATGTTTTGTAAACGAAATCGTTTTACCTTGACCATTCAATATGAAGAGTTTTCTTAGTTTCAAACGTCAAGGAAGATTTTTGCAATGCTTAACGTTAATGTTTTTGTCCTCTTATTATAATTTAATTTTTTTCATAGTTTAAAAAAATTTAATGTTTAATATTAGTTTTGATGATTTCATATACATAGGTTTTTAATTAGATGCACTTCTGTGATATATCAAAAGAACTATTTTCTTTGATTTACACTGGAGGCATACTTATTTGACAGCAGATGTATCAAATTTGTTCTAAAAGGTGCTTTTCATTGGACAGAACTAGAAGACACTATTTTGATAAAATTGTGAGTGTTCAGGGGGAATTTTTGTAATAATGCTGGAGGGCTGGGAAGTTCTACTGTTTTCTTTCTGTGAGAAAGAAGTGAGTTTAAATGGCAGAATTGTAATAGAATGTGGTAATGAGTACGTAATGAACGTACCTAATTATCTGATCATCGTGTAAACAATGCAAGCTTCCTTTAAAATCAACAGTTCCAGATATTATTTGCATACCAGTTCCTCTGTTTTGAAGAAAACTGATTCTATATTTGGGACCACTGAACAGGTGCTTTTGGCTGTTGAGTGGTATTGGAGTTGTGAGAAACTGAAGCTGAAAAAGAAGTGACTTGATTATTATTATTAATTTTTAAGTGTACGTGCTACTTATGCTGAACTGGACATACAGGAAAACATTCCCTTTGGATGACTTTCTTCTATTCCAGGTCTTTTCTTACTAGTGGTTCGGTCTGCTGCTCTTATAAAAGATGATTTGTAGAATGCAAGGAATGTAGCAACCTGCATCATTTTCCTTTCAAAAATATTTCCTTGTTCTTAAAGTGGATTTAAATTTTTACAAAAATTAGATAAGGCAGTGTAACTGGCACACCTCACTTATACTTATTCCCAATTGTGTAGAATTTGAATAGGTGGCTAGATGGACCATTGCCATTTAAGAATGTACATCAGGGATCATTGTACCTCGGCTATTACATGGTGCCTTAAAGAGAACTGAAGCTAAGACTTAGTACTTTTTGTTATTATTAACTCTTAAATTAATTCTACAAGGTGTGCCTGTCATTCTCAAATTCCCTAAGAAGTAAGGACAGGTTACATAGTCTTCAAAAGAATAAAGGATTTTTTTATTATTAAATGATTTTAATATCCCTCCTAGAATGACAATAAACATATTTTTTCTTATTTCTAGCTGGATTTCACTTTATTACAGATAAAATTTGCTTGGGTATTTGGAAGGCAAAACGAGCTTTAATAGCAACTTCAAATGTCAAAATAGATTGACCCTGGTCCCAAGCATGATTATATATTTTCTAAACCCTTGTCTAGTTATAATTTTGAAAAGTAAGAAGAACTAAATGAGCAGGTACATAATGCAGCACATGTTTTCAATTTGTATATTTTGTGGGGTATCAGCCAGATACTACATTTTAATGGTTAAATCTCATAATAGTCGGTATTAATTGACAGTCAGCAATTGAGATTTTTCTTATTAAACATTTCGTTATGCTTAAAGCAGACACAAGAATTTGGTACACAAAAATAGTGAAAATAAATAAGCAAAACAGCCAAAAAGGGAAGGAGAGCCCAAAAAAATCAACTTTATTGAGCAAACTGTATAAAAAATTAGGGGTTCTTTTATTTTGGTTTATCTGTTGTGTCTGTAAAATGATCTCTCAAGGTCATATATACCAAATGGGTGACAGGCATGTGTAATGAACTGAAATTTTTAGCAAACAGTTCGTTACTAGAGTTTACATTTGCTCCAAGTACAGCTACAGATCAATTAAAATGTCCTAACATTATTGGTGTTCAAGATGATTAATTTTCAATTACTTTGCAGAATTTGGAGGCCAACCCATCCAGCTCATTCTGTGTAGGCATAATTCCAACTAATGCCAGTAGATGGTTTTTGCCTCAACAGAGAGTGAAAATGAGGTTTATATTCATTATTTCTAAGCTCATATATGCACTGACTCTCATAACAGATTTTGTTCTCACATATATCACTCAGTATGTCCTGATTTTTCCTCAGAAATCAGTACATCTGCATCCATCACCAAAAATCCTAAAACTAAGCTGTGATAAATATTTACTCCCCTTCATTGTGCATTATAAGATGTTTACAAGTAAAATAAAGTGAAAAAAATCAACATTTTTCATTTTCAGCTTTTTTTAAATGCTGTAGTATTGGTTTCAGTTTTTGTTTGACAAACCTTAAATGTTTTGTTCTTGTCCTTCATTGGTTTAACGTTGGATTTGTTATTGCTGAGAGAAGAGTAAGATTGTAATAGGTAAATCTAGATTGCTAGAAGAGGTGGGACCTGAATATAGTTCGTTATTCAGCTCCCCACTCCCACCCAGTTGTTCACTGTTCACAAAGTGCAAAGCAAAGCAAAGTGAAATGAATACACAGATGGAATGTATTTTGTGGCTTCTAAGAGCATAGTCATCAGAAGAAATTGGAACTATCCCAGGTTTAGAAAACTGAATAGTCTTTGTATTCCTATGATTATCAAATTATTATTCTTTAAAATTTTTGAACACTATTTGCCCATACTTTTTTAATTTATTTTTTAGAAGAATTAAGTTGCTGTAAGCTGCTTTGTGTTCTTACAGGTTTGGGGGAGGGGGGGTGTTCTGTTTTGTTTCTATATTTACTGGAGTTTTAATCAAACATACTTAGGCAAAAACATTTTGCACACTCTTGCTATTGTTAATAATCTGGTATTAGTAATGATTAAACTACAGAGATATGAATACCTCAGTCCAGATTCTATAATGTGTAGCATGTGGTTGCATTGCCGCACCAGCTCCAAAGTCTACTCTTAGTGCTCTGGAGGGTGTGCAGCATGTATCCACAGGGCAGGCATTAGGACGGTTCATGTGGTTTATGGATTTTGTGTGATCTTGACATGGCATCCAATACAGTTATTTTAGAGGCCTTTCCCCCATTAGCACAAATAGCACAGTGAACAGTGTGGGGGAATGGGTATTTTTGAACTACCTTTTCAAAACACAGGGCCCAATTTTCAAAAGTTTTATATGAAAAATTGTTGGTACATTTTAATCTTTTTCATTATAAATGAGTTCTAAAACTTTTTTTCTTGTTTCATTTAATCATTGTCTTTGTGTTTTACTCATGTACTGTAGCATGCTATAAGCACCTTCCTTTAAAAAAGTTGCATAAAAATTTGGAAAATAGATTTTATTTATTTACCTAAAAATAGTGATTTACAGCCTTTAGTTTAAAAACAGGTGAATAGATAATGTTTTGGTGTACTGTCATTCAGGAATGTATAAGTCTATGTACAAATTTAATTTAAAGCGAGGTATTTTTAAATATCAAAAAGACTGCTTTTGTTCACCTTGTTCTCCATAGGAGACCTGATCTGATATCTTTGTTGTTCTCACTAAGTGACATCTGCACTGTTTAGAAAAACTTTTCTATTAGAGATGCACTGCAATCCAATTTAGTTTAAAGTGGATTTACAAAATTAAATCAACCATTGATAGCCATAAAAACTTGGTGAAAAAAATTGAATCTATTAATAACGTAAGTAATTTTTTGTACTTATATATGACAGTAATTTCAGAGTATAAACATTAATTTGAGAGCACAGTATGAATTTCTGAAAATTGGGCCCTTGTCTCTAATGGGACATCTGTGTATATGGTTTAAAACAAATCAATGAATGGAATTCTAGTATCTCTGCTAATTTGTTTGGTGATTTAAGACAAACAAACAAAAAACTGGAATAGAAGCATAAACACACAGTGCTTAGTTCTAGTATTAGAAAATTAATTTAATGTAATGCCTTCTGTTAACCCTTTGAGCATTGTAAGTAACATGATGGGAACAAAACTTTTTACATAATTTAATTAGTCCATTGAACATATACTTTGAAATAGCTGATAGTATTGTAGAGAATGCTTTTTTAATTTCTAAATTAAATACTTGCATACTATACAGGAAAGATTTTGTTATTAGGAGGCTTAATAGATTTAGGCAAAATATTCACTGCCGTTGATGGTACTGTCTCATGTAAAACAGTACTTCGGCTCCTTTGTTTTCATAATTGCATAAATATATAAAGAAAATCAAATGCGTGTTTCTACAGACATTAAGTTGTCTTCTTCAAGATGCCTTTAGCAGATGAAGGTTTAGAAAATACATTATGTTTACACTATTTTGAAAATATCTTTAGATAGGTTAGCATTGGAATATGCCAGTACTATAGATGAGAATCTTTGGGACTAAAAAAAGGCTTAGTGAACAAGAGTAAATTTTACAGAATATTTAGTAGGTTTGCATTGAAATTTTCTGCAGTCTTTTTGATAAACACATCCAAAAATACACAGTTATATTCATACTACTTTTAACATTCAGTCACTGCAATAATGAATAACAAAAATATCAAGGTGTTTTATTCAGCTTCATCTACGGCGTGCAGTTTGGGGGGCCCTTACTGAATGTCAGAATTTTAGAAGCAGTCTAGAAATTGCACCAGCCTTTTGCCATGTTAGGAAGCCCCTCTGTTCTTAAAATAGTGCTCAGAAGAACAAGGGGACAAGAGCAGAAGCAAGTAGACATTCTTTGAAAATACAGATAGAAATGCCATCTTACTAAGTGAGAGTACTGTATATTTTCTACTGGTTTCTTGCAGTATCAATCAGTCAGCAAACACTTAAGTGCAGCTGTACTTTTATTTAAGTCTAGCTGAGGGCAAAAAAGTCTAATTTTAAGTTCTTTAGTGGGGAATTATGTCAGTAGTATAGTGCAAGTAAGTTGTAAACATGCAAATTCATGCATAAATAAATAACATAAATGCAATACTCAAAGGGTTTTAATTTAACAACTTTTTTTGTTCATGATTTACTGTAAATGCTTCTGAGTTTGCATGCCTTGATCATTGCTGCTAGTGATTTTATGTGCCAGTAGACCTGAGTTTAATTTACCAGTTTAACTTAAGAAATAGTAAAAGCCACTTACAAAGTGACTGCCTAGTGTTTGTTTGAAGTAAAAAATGCCTTAGTTTCAAAATGATCATTTTAACTGTCTTATTTTATTCTGATGTTTTTTTTCGTTTTCCTTTTGAAAAAAAAATAAATCAACATGTTGGGATTGGAAGCCCTGAGTAGTTAAATATTTGGTAAGAATTGTTCTTGTAGATTGATCATGAAGGGTGAAATTCACTGTAGAAAAGAAAGCTAAGAACAAGTCTATGAGCATTAAATGAGCCTCACTTAAATCTGAATCAGGATAATGTTCCTTGTATATTCTTAAGCACCTTCTTGATTCAGGGTGCAGATATCTTAACAAGAATTTTCAGTACTGAATGAATTTTACTCTGAAATGATAAATGTCTTTGTTAAAGGAATTTTGAATTTGGAGGAACAACCACACATTGATTGGTATTTACCAGGAACTCAGTTCAATACTTTTTGACTCCCTGATGTCAGCAAGAGGTTTTTATGTAAGGAATTTTAAAGGGTTGCCCAAGTAAAGTTTCCTTCAATACAATATTAAAGTGATTGCCTTGTATTTAAACATTAATTATCCATCTTAAAGTAAAACAGTAAAATAATTTAAAATATGCCAGAAAAATACCGTTTTGTACCAAAGCAAGTTGCCCATCTCCACTCATCTTCATCGGAAATTTGGATTTACAGTTAATAACCAATGAGGCTGTTAAAGAAACTTTTGAGTGCCTTTCAAAAACTTGAAAAATTGTGCCTGAGATGGTAAACTTTAATTAGGTTAATTCTAGAGCTACCAATCAGTAATTTTATCATCACTCAGGGCTTTCTTACCTTCTAGGAAACTTCCTTGTTGCATTTATTTTATATTGTATTTTGTTTAAGTGCCATCCTTTAAATTTCACTTAGTAAGTGGCAGATTACATTATTCAGTCCCACAGCACAAAAACATAATAACACTAGGAAATATTCAAACTTTTATTTTCCTGTTGACTGAATATATTATGTAAATGAGGTAAGCAACTTTTTGTAGCTTGTATGTGTGAGATAATGTAATGTTCTTTTCCAGTTTTTGGACTACAGTTGAATATACTTTTTAATTATTTAAAGAAGACATCTTTACAGAATAACGTGATGGTTTTTTTGTATAATGTATTTGATTTTGTAAATACGTATTTCCTGATGTGATTTTTGTGAGAAATGCTAAATCTTTTAGTATATCATGTCCTCTCAAAATTGGCAGGAGCTAAATAATAGTTTGTGGGCAATTTGTATTGTGTACTGTACAATAACTGGGGAACTTTTATAATTATAAAAATATATATTAACTTTTAGTGTGTTGTTTAAAAAAATGACTGGAACATACTAAAGACAGTAGGATTTTTCTGAATATTTCAGACTTGAACTCAGGCTAGCTTTCTTGTGTTTTTCAAAACAAAATTGTGTCTTGTCTTTTAAAATCAATAAATTTGTTTTCTTGTTACAAACATATTTGAATTGCTTCAGTTTTTATATAGCCAGATATTTTGGATGGTGATGCCATTCATTTTGAAAGAAAAAATATTTCAACTTCTGCATTTTAAATAAGGCTGAAAAAAATTTTTTTAAGCAGCCACAGAAATAAATAACTAACAGTGAGTGTGTCTCAGATTGCAGAAGAAGCTATTATTTTGAGGTGCCAGCTCAGATAAGTATACGTCTGTGTTCCCAATAGATAAAGACTGTAATATACTTACTAATTTGAATATCAACAATAATTTCCTAGTATAGGTTTAGCTAGTTAGCTAGCATGCAGTCTTGGTCTCCACGGATTATTGGTGTTAATTCATTGCTGCTAAACACCTACTTCTTCCACTTTTGTCATAAGTATTAAGCCCACTTCTGCAAGTTTTTTTTTTATAAGTATTTGGCAATAAGCTACTGCATTGGATGTTTCCACAGTTTCACACACACACACACACACACACACACACACAAAAGAATAAAGGCCTAATCTGATCAAGCCATGTCTGTCATGGGTCTCCAACTTCCAGGCACTGTTTTTTGTATCAAAAAATGCAGAATGTTATTTCAATAGGGGAGAGCCAACAAGTAACACCTGCTAAAATGTAAAAATGGCCACTGAATTCCAAATTTAAAACAAATATTTCGCACAAACTATAGTAAAGCTAGAAAAGCTGCACCCTAACGCTTAGATTTATTTTGCTCAAGAAGCTCAGCTATAAGAGTTACGATCCAGTCTCCTTTCATTTCATCACCAGCCTCCCCTCTCATTTCAAATAAGGTCCAAAAGCTTAGGCTACAATGCTGGCTCTCACAATGCATTCTACCAAACAAGACTGTAAATTTTCTACCTCGGTGACCACCGGTCAGACCTATGTTTACAGACACACACACGCACATGCTTTATAAAGAGACATCTCTCACGCCAGCTAACAGTATCTGGCTGTATTCAGTTCTTTTCCCGCAGCAGTGTTACCGGAAAGAGCCTGCAGCATCAATCTGTGTTGTTGTTAATATTAATTAAAGTGACTTAATTAGTTAAATAACGGAAGTTTAGTTCAGCATCCCAAAGCACCACAATACAGATCCTGAAGCATGAAACATGGCAGAAATGCACTAAAAATTCAGGAATACCGGGTACTGTAAGAAGACAGTCGAAGGGTCACAAATAAAGCTGGTTCTATTACTTCTACAAGGTGATTTTCTGCACAGTGTTAATAATATCAAATAAATAAGATATATACTATATCAAATGATTTTAAGTGTACTTAATTTGTCTGATCTAAGACTTTCACTTCTATCATGTAAAATGTCACACAGAATGCAGCTATCCAATTTACTTCAGTTGTTTTGTTGTATATCAAGGTTTGTGCCAAAAGGCGTCTGAAATACAAAACCAGTTACTGTTCCACAAAGGCATTTTGACTAAGGCAGGCAAGAAACCTTGATCCATTTTTGGCACTGTTAACAGTATGCCAGAAACAGTTGCTAGGCTGACTTGATGCTGCTGTTCCTGATCTCATTCCAAATTTTGCTAAATCCCATTGTATGCGTTCTTCCATAATAGCTGGATTACCTACACCCGTATGGCTTTTCTGTTCACAAAGCAAAAAAAACTCCTTGACTGCAATGTGGTGCTGCTGTGAGTTTCTTCTAAGCAATTTTGTAAGCAGAACTGTTTTACAAAGATTGAAAATCCTGCCACAACATCTAACATCTATGCTGAATGATATACGACAGTTTAAGCTTTCTTATCCTTTTCCTATTAGAATTAATTTAATTAAGACAAAGTTTCTGAAAAGTTGAATGATCTAAAATAAGTAAGGGGTGAAGCAGTGAATCCATTATAGACCAGGCTTACTCTGATGTCTGGAACAGAAGGAACTTTTCACGTTTAACATCAGACTCTGTATGTTCAAACCTACAGAGCTGGACTGTAACTGTAGTTGCTCTTTACAATAAAAGCAGTGGGGCTCTGCAGACACAGTACTCTAACTGGAAAAGACTGTGAAATGCTGACCAAGTTCAGTGCTGCAGAATTTGTCCTACTCTCAGGTGATTTTTATAAACAGCAATTCAGCTGCAGCTGGCAAAGGAACAGGGTATGCCTGTGGAACGAGCGCTGGTTGATCTGTTCCTGGCTTCAAACTCAAAGGAGAGGCTTAATAATAACCATACTGAATAGAATATATTGTAAACATATAGACTTTATAGACTTTAAACTTGGGTCGGATTTCTAGGTATAAAATACATACTTTAGCAATAGATATTCAAAAAGCTAACATTTATCCTATTAGTAAAGAATTAGTTCACAGCATTAATTTTATACCTACTGATATTGCTGCTTTGGTTGATAGCCAAGGAAACATAAAACTGGAGTCAAGTCTATTTTCCTATTACTTCCATAAATCAGTTTTGAAACAAAAATGCTGCATCCTATACACGAGAGTATTATTTCAAGTGAAATAGCTTGAGTAGCTCCAGACTAATTTTACTGGAATTCATCATATGAAGGATATAATACTACATGGTCTGAGCCATAAGCCATGAAGTTAGCGCATCAGACTCTAGAATAATCCCAGAGTTTAAAGAGACTGATGGAAATCTGTTTAGGAAGATGATCAGAAATTACAAAGGCAGAACATAATTAAAATGGATAGTCAGTTGAAAGCTTTTTTGCTTGCTGATTCAAACAATAATTTGAATTTTACGCAAAAGGCTAACAGAAATTGTCAGAATTCCCTGTCTTCTATAGTCTGGCTCACGCTAGCTGTCATCACTGAAACTCTGAGGAACAGTGTTTCTTCAGATGTGTTGTCCTCTTGAGGGACTTGGTCACAAAGGTGCTTCCCACCTTTAGAAGGCATTTTTTCCCTGCATATCTTTGACACAGGACTGTAAAGCACAAATTATCTTAGATCTCTGAGAAATGGAAAAAAAGGAACACATATTTGGTTCAGGCAGCAGCCTTGCTCCATCACACTCATTGCTGCAGCCAAGAACTGCTCTAACTGGGGCAGGTGTTTGTAGGGTCTTCTTACAGGTGTAGCATGATGCTAAAAAGGAAACAAGGTTGCAAGTTGAAATTGAAGTGGGAAAAGCAGCAAAAGACATTGCCTTAAGCAGACAGGCCTTCTCTGTGGGGCATTGTCCCCTTATGGGGGTGAGAGGTAGTAATGTTGCTGAGGACCAAGCAGTCAGGGGCACAACCCCACTGAGGTGAGGCAGTCATCCAGTGAAGATCCTTCTATGAAGGAGATACTCTTTGGTCTCCTTGCACATGTTTAAACAATTTATCCCTCCAACTATCCCTGCCACCTTCTTTTGTTGCACCTGTTGTCCACTGTGGACAACACCAGCTTTCAGTCTATTGCTCCGCTTGGTTACTGGTGTGCCATCAGCTCAGTGTCCAGGCTCTCACATCTAGAGGCAGCAGCTATTTGCATTACACTTTCCTGCTTATCCATTGGACCGCTACAACTCATTCTGGCTCCTGTCTCCTATTTCACTTGCCTCCGGATATTTTCTCCGGAGATGAATAAATGCAATCTTGCCTTATTTGTGTTTATTCAAAATTTCACAGCACAGATGACTTTGATGGTCCAGCAGTCCCCCATACTTGCCCTGGGGGTTAGTTCAATGAGTGTAAAGCTGCCCTTGGGCATAAGCAATCCAGCTGACTGCCCAAAGCATTAACTTACCTTGGGCAGCCAGTCTACGCACAAACAGGTACCTGATGGCCTATGCAGACTGCCTTATTCAGCTTTCACACATGGCTAAGTAGCATCAATTTTTTTTTCATAGAATAACGAAGAGGCGATAGTTCACCTGCCTCCCAAGGAGGGAAGGCACAGAGCTGTGCTGTTGCAGTGACCGGACCGCCGTGTCTTCATAGACGAAAAGTCTCCGGAGCATTGGCGCAAATAAAGGCTCAGCACTAAGCGTGCCTGAACTCTGGTGGCTTAAGCAGCCCAGAGCAACCAGTACCTGCGTAGCGGGGA